ATATCAAAGCTAAATCGTCAACAAATCTAATTAGCAATGCTTCGTTCTGTAGCTGCAGCTGTAACGGTCTATCATTAATGCAAATCCCCAAAAAAGGGTCATTTATTGAGCTCTGTGGTACACCCGTACACACCGGAGACCCGTAGACCCATAGACCCGTAGATAGTCAGTCACTATCTCGCCGTTTTTGGTTACGATTACCAATTTTCTACCCTTGAGATAGCTGTTTAATATTCTTGGAAGATAATGCGGCATCTTTTTTCGAAAAAGGGAATGATAGATAAATTCCAAGTTAGCAAAATTGAATGCATTCAATGAAATGAAATCTCCCCGTTATTATTTTATTCGATAATGCTCTCATCATATTAAAAATGAGTCTTTCGAGTAGCTTCTTCGTTGTGACTATTATTCCCAAAAGTCTGCACGATGTGAAACTGGTTGTAAAGCCTATTTTGCAATATGGAGAACTCCCCTGGCGGGCTACTTTTTTTTCATTTGGGAGCTAGTTCATTGTTGCCTTGTTGAAAATAGCACTTCTACGATTTTCCACAAGCTCAGTTTGTCTTTCGGCACATTTATACCGTGTGCCTTATCTAGTTCGCTTATTACTAAGTTATAAGGCAAGACCTAAGCTCTCAGTTTATCGACTTGATGAGATTTATCCATATCTCATTTCTATTCATTTGAATTTCTATTCATAAAGGTTCTTCTAGCCCCTTTGTAGGCCTCTTGTACCTCTATCGATTTTGGCCAATGAGATCTTCTTGCCCGTTACTGTAACCATTTCATTTATTTCATTCTCTTTTTAGATTAGATATATAGTTATTTCATCAATAAGCTAGTTTTCTGTGATCCGATGCCAGCCAACGTGACATTATTTTATAGCAATCATCTGTTCTAAGCTATTTCAAAGCATTTGCTCCTCGTCCACTGTTCAATAGCTCTTTCTATTTGGTGCTGTGCTGATCAATGGCAAGAAGATATCCCGATACACTTTATAAAGATCATCCTCTTTTCATTATACTTTCTCCGTTAGTTCCGGTTCCCTTCACCCTTCTCTTCACCCTGTTACCCAACTTCCTCTAGGGGCTACTCTGAGTGTCTTTACTTCTATTTGGTTTGGAGCAGTTTCTTTAAAAGCTGTCATCAGCGTCTGTTTGATCTCTTCTATAATTAGATCTTTAAAGTCTCGGAGTTCTATTGTTACTGTTGGGAGTAAGGGTCTCATGACACGGGTCGTCTGCCGCCTTACGTATTGCCTCGCTAACATTTTCCAGGTTGAAGTCTTTCACTAATTCTAACAATAGGTTTCCATTCTTTGTTTCTCTAATTGACATTGAAACCGACCTGCTCCATGCTGGACTTCTGCTTTATACTTGTTTCATCATTTTGAAGTAAAACATTTTGTTGTCCCCGCTTGTTGTCAAAATTGCTCTGCTTCTAGCCTTGATAAATCCATCCAAAGAGATACCTTTTTCGTTATTTGACCTATCTGAGTTGCTTGATTCCTTCAATTTTAATTTTCCTTTTTCTGTTCCTAGCTATTTCTCAGTCATCTTCGTCCAGGCGGTATGGTGAGGTTCTTACTCTGAGATGTATTAGATGCTCTTCTTATTGTCTAGTTTTTTTTCTGAGCTTGGCTAGACGGTATAGTATTCATTTTATGCACTTGCCTAATGGTACTTTTCTGTCATTGACGATGATCATTATTTAAGTCCTGTTTTGAAGGCGAGAGCTAGATGCAAAACTCTTATGTTTATCTGTGGCTCTTTCTCTTCATCAGACCGATGAATTACATTCTCTCGTTCACCTAAAAGGTGTATCTTAATTGCTCTCATTTTCTCATATTTTGTGTAAGTCACCTCAAATGAGGCATTATAACACTTAGGCCTTCTTTAACCGTTTTATGTATATTTTTGGCTAGATCTACTGCTGGATACATATAATAGCGATAATTATCTCCCAAAGCCTTAAGTGTTTGTTACTTTTTGTCTATTTGTCTTTCTCTTTTGTTACTATGTTTGTACAATGTTTCAGCAGCACTTATTGAAGGTGATTCGCTATTGGCATTTCTCCGCTACCTATTCCATTCGTAAAATCACTTCGGTTCCAAGGTCCAAGTGTTTAAGTCGTTTATATATATCATAATTATGATTAATATAATTTAAATATATTAAAATAAAAATCAAATATGAACTGTTTAATTGTAATATTTATATTGAATAGCTGGTCTTGGAAAGTAAACGTTTATTTCACTCGAAATACTTTAAGTGAATAGTGTAATATTTTTATGGAAATAAAAACTTTGGTAATACTTCAACTCTTATTTCTAAATAAAACATACAAAAATTATATATCTTTCTTTTTGCTTTAGAATCTAGCGAAATTAGAAGCTACAATTAACGAAGAAGTCTTCTAAAGAAGAATTCTTTTATAGACGGTGAATTTTTTCTTCACAGGAGTTAATTATTAAATTTCGATTAATTTTGAGTACTCAAAATAAAAATGAAAGAACTCGATTTATATGTACATATATAATATTGAAACGGCATATTATCCATTTTAAGATTAGTTCAACCCGTTTTAAAATTTCTTTTGCAAAATCCCGGGATGGGTGAAGTTTATTTTTAAATTTTATGTATAATATAGTTAATTATAGTCAGATTCACTTAGTTTTGTAAATTTTAGATGGAAAAAAAATGAAAAAACACGTTTCGCTTGTATAAAAAATAAGGTTTTCAACCGCTCAGATTAGAAATATTGCACGAATATTTCTCTTTTAAAGGAGAACGATGTTCACTTTGTTTCATTAAACAATTTGCAATAATTTTCAAGAAATTAAATAAAATGGTTTTTGACGTTTTTCTTTAAGGACATTTTTCACCCCTTAAATGGGCCGTATATGCACGTATAAAAAATACGTGTCAAATATTTTTCAATGCACTGCAAGACATTACAATTTCAAGAAAATCTGTGAAGTACACTTGAAGTAGTTTTCTTGTTAGTGTTTGGCCGGATAGTTATGAAAGAGGAAAAATTTTTATTTTCGGATTAAAACTATTTTAATGGTTAAAATAAATGTTTAGATCACATGGTTTGATAGTATAATAGAAGTATTTTACGAAGCTGGATTTGTGTTTCCATTTTGCAATCTTTCTACATCAAAACATAAAATTATCTTTGGCCGGGCACTTTTGCATGCAACTTTATGGAAAAAAACTATTAGTCTACATCGCATATTCTTTGTAACATTTTAACAGATTACTAATGGCATGAATTCATTTGAAACATTATATTTCCCAGATGATCCTATTAGATTATTGACTTAATAAAAGTATAACTTTGCGAGTTATTGCAAAAAGTTTATAGTCATGTATAATTTTTTTCTATTCATATTTAAATGTGAGCTGTAAATTTAGTTGTTTATTTTATTTTAAAAAAATTTTATCGTTTACAGAACCGTACCATTTTTTATATATATCAAATGCGGTAATGGCTTATTTTTTAATCTACGAGGTCTGTTCAAAAAGTATCGCGAATTTTGTATGTTTTAAACAATTATTTATTTATTCATGAATATCTATTTTATCTCCTTCAAAGTAATCCCCCTCGGATATAATACACTTGTGCCAATATTTTTTCCAATCCTCGAAGCACTTAAAAAAATCATTTTTTGTGATCTTGTTCAGCTCCTCCTTCAATGCCATCTTTATCTCCTCAATCGTGGCGTAGCATCGTCCTTTCTGTTTTGGAAACAGGAATAAGTCACAGCGGACCAAATCTGGGGAATACGGTGGCTGCGGCACCATTACTGTGTTGTTTTTGGCCAAATATTCGCGCACACGTAACGATGTATGAGCATGGACGTTATCATGGTGTAAAAGTCAGTTTTTGTTCTTCCACAAATCCGAATGTTTATAGCGGATTGCTTCGCGGAAATTGCTTATAACTTGCAGGTAATATTCCTTATTGACCATACTACTCTGCGGCAAGAACTCTTGATACACCACGCCTCTGTAATCGAAGAAAACTGTGAGCAAAATCTTCGTTCGACCGAACTTGGCGCGCTTTTTTCGGTCTTGGCTCATTCGGCAGCTTCCATTGGGATGATTGAGCTTTGGTTTCCACGTCATAACCATAATCCTATGATTTATCACGAGTTATGATCCTCTGGAGCATATTTAGGTCGTCACGGACCGAGTCCAACATCTCCTGAGCAATGTTAACGATATGTTGTTTTTGGTCGAAAATGAGCAGTTTTGGCACGAATTTCGCGACGACCCGATTCATGCCCAAATCATTGGTGAAAATCGAATGACATGTGCCAATCGATATGTTTAGATCCTCAATAACTTCTCTAAGGGTGATTCGACGATTGACCAATACTATTTTCTTCACTTTATCAATGTTTTCGGCTGTTGTTGACGTGCTTGAGCGTCCAGCACATTGTTCGTCGTTCACATCTTCTCGGCGCTCTAAGAACATTTTGTACCACCGATAAACGTTGCTTTGGTCCAAGATAGCTTCACCATATGCCACAATCAACATTCGGAATGCGTTCGCGCACTTTATTTTGTTTTTCACACAAAACTTGATACAGATTCTTTGATCCATTTTTTAGAATAGGCAAAAATTGAAGACGAGCCAAAACACATCCAAGGAAAACAGCTGTCAAAAATTATTTAAACATTCAGAATGGCCGACCTTATCAGCATAAGTAAGAGAGATGAGTTGGTACTCATCTCTCTTAACCAACATAACGCTACAAAAAAATAAAAAATCAAATTTACGTAGCCCGCGGAAATTCAAAATTCGCGATACTTTTTGAACAGACCTCATATATTATATTTATTTTTGATTTATGTTATATTTGTGCTGATTTCAAGATTTTGAAGTAGGATTGATATATAAGCAGATAAAGAATGAAATTTCATACTTCAATATTAAGGTTAATATATTATACTAAATGCAAGAAAACATTACAATACATTCGTGACAAGTTCAACCAATATAGTTTGTTTTTTATTACCTTTTCACTAAATTACTGTAATTTTGTTCCACTATTTTTCTCACTTTTCGTCTGTATTGTATTTTTACTTAAAAGTATAGTATATAATTTTCCATAACATTACAAACATATATGTAAATAAATAAACAGGGATACGTTTCTTAAATCACAGTATAACCCATGAAAAAGCATATCCAAGCTGTCTGAAAAAAATGATAACGTTTTTTATGAAAAATAGGATTATTTCACATTTGTTATTCTATAAGAAAAGTTTGCCAAAATTTAGAAAATTTTTGAAATAATTAAATTTTGAAGATTTCCCAGAAAAAAGGTAAAATTGCATATTCTTGCATATATATTATTTTTTGTAAGCCATACTTATGTATGTAACTGCATTGTCTAATGATTACATTTTTCGACTGTCTTTCTGAAGATTATTATTACTGTAATTTCTGAATGTATTTGTTAATCGATAACAGTAGTCGATTTATTCTCAAACTTAAATATATAAACCTTCTTCAGTTATATACATTATGTAATTAAATTTGTGATTGATAATATCTGAAAGTCTTACGAAAATAATAATTAACAAACATATAATAAGAAATTTATTATAATGATAGTTAATGTTAAGCAGTTTGTATTCAGCTTCATAAATTTACTATTTGATGAAGATGGAATAGAGTACAAAAGTAATACAAATATTAATTAGGCTAAGCAAAATTTTAAAAATTTATGTAATATCAAATTTAGTTTTGTTTGATCTATAAAATATGTTGTTTATACTTTAATAAACTCATCTAGAATAGTCTTGTACAATGTATGTGGATGCCACGAAAAATCTAACTACTGAGCATTAAACTTAGATATTCAGATAATGATAATTAAATATATAGATATAATTTCTTTTTGTCCTTTTTTGCATTTGTTGATATAATTGAACACTAATTAATTGACTTAAGCAAGTGATTAATAAAAATATAGCTTAATAACTAAGTACAACCTGATGTTATAACATATGAATTTAACAAAACTAAGATTCAATTGCAAATGTGTAACTGAAGCATAAGTTGATTAAGTTGAAAAAAAAGTATACATAGAAAAAAAAGCATGAATTGGATGTCTTCTACCTTAAGGAACTGAGCACAAATATAAGAAAATATGTGAAATCTCAAAATTAGTATCTAATAAATTAGGCATAAAAAATTTAGATTGACAACTATGATAATAAAAAATAATCTATACGTTCATACTTAAACTTATTTATGTTTTAATTCTCTTAATAATATATTGTTTCTCTGGTACAATTCAGGTTTTAAGTTTGCCCGGCATTAACTATTATTGGAAAATCTGATAAAAATTCAATCTCTTTTCTATCGAAATGTCAATTTTCGAATTTGCATATCATTTCATGTCTTTCAGTCATTTATTGAGCAATGCTCTATAATTTCCTTTATATCCATTTTTTCTTGATGTTTTGATATTGACATTTTATCTAAAAAGTAGAAGAACTGTACCAAGATGTAATATTAAAACGTTTTCAAAAATACTAGCGACGGGTCTGATAATTTTGGTTGTTTGGGTTGCCACTTTGTTGTCTGAGTCCCCCTCGACCTCCTTCTCCTCCCCCACGATTGTAGCCACCACGACCACGTGTTCCATGCTGACCACCACGCATCATTGTCGCTGGACCACCTGTAAAATTCAATATGTACTTTTACATATTAAATAAAGTATTCATTATTGAAAGTTATGTTTACAAGAAAGATTACAAAGGGAAAATTTCTATGAGGTTCGTTAACGTCAAACAACATCAAATTATTTATTTTGTAACGTATTATGAGGGTCGCGCAAGGCGTCACAACTTATGATGCGAGAGCAAGTGTCACGTCTGTAGAGTACTGCCAAAATAAGTAACTTTACTACCTGATCTACCAAGTGGTTTCGTTTTTATCGTTTATCAAAATAAACAACTTTAGTTAAGGTTTAACACAGAAACAAATCAAAGCTGAATTAGATGAAGTTCATGGTAAATCTTTACCTGTGTTTGCAATTATTTACAATTGGTCGAATGAGTTTAATCACGGCTGTACATCCACAAAAGATGAATATCAGTCGTGACGCCATGTGGGAGTGATTATTCTCGAAATGATTCACAAAATCTACGATATGATTAAAATTTACGAAATAGTTGTGGCCACAAGCATATTACAAGATACGTTCGTATTAATTTTGCATGAAAAATTAGGCATACAAAAAATTTCGGTAAGATAGGTGCTACGTTTGCTTACATAAAAAGTAAACGCAATCGTGTAATCCACTCTGAGGCCGTATTGGCATTTTCCGTCGTAATCCTAAAAAGTTTCTGCGTTGATACATAACTGTCGATGAAACATGGATACTCTATTTTGAATTCTCTATTTATTTTATTTTTGTATATAGAAAGCTATTATTAAACTAAAAACATGTTTTTAGCAACATTTGAAACTATTGGTTATTTTTTGTGATATAACGATTTTTGCACAAACAGGCGCTTTCGCAATATGGACATTTGCTGGCAGGATTGGAACAGAGACGATTATTGATTTATTTTCTTCATTGAAAGATTAACCTATTAACGACCATAAACGTCATTTTTTAGACATGTTTTAACCGCCAAATTCTTGTGTAAAGCGAAATAATAAATTGATCCAAGGTACCATTCCTTATATTTCTGGGTATGCTGAATACGAATCCGGGCTCATTAACCCATTAACGTCCAAAATGTCAAAATTTCTTGCACGTTTTCAAAGTGATTTTTTCCTATGTAATTGGCATTGAAAAAATTCTTGAACCACATATTCTGATGTAAAATTGCATGCTCTTTCAGAATCCGTTGCCAGAATCATGATAAAACTCACAGGAAAAGAGATATGCTCGATTGAAACATAAAAAACACCTAAATTTTCGAAAAAAAAAATTTTTAGGATTTTTTTTCGAAGTGTTACGGTGAAGATATCACCTTGCGACCGTGATCAAAGGTGATCATGGGATTTGAAGTTTAACAGGGAATTTTTTTGTTTACCTTGAACCATCGCTTCTTTACAAAATGGCGGAAAAAACGAATTTTTTTTTTTTCTATCTTCATCAACTTTTTTCTCAAAATCTATGATCTTTAGAAAAAAATTCATAAAAACAAAAATGCCTTAAAATCGCTCGAGGAACATTCTCAAATTTTTTCAGAATTTTTTGAGACAATTTTTGATTTTCCGGGAAATTTGGGAAATGGAATTTTCAAAAATGTCTCCAAAAATTCTGAAAAAATTTTAGGATGTTTCTCGAGTGATTCTAAGACATTTTTGTTCTTATGAATTTTTTTCTAAAGTCCATAGATTTCGAGAAAAAAATTGATAAAGTTGAAATAATAAAAATTCGTTTCGGCCGCTATGTTCACTTTATCAATTTTTTTCTCGAAATCTATGGACTTTAGAAAAAAATTCATAAGAACAAAAATGTCTTAGAATCATTCGAGAAACATCCTAAAATTTTTTCAGAATTTTTGGAGACATTTTTGAAAATTCCATTTCCCAAATTTCCCGAAAAATCAAAAATTGTCTCCAAAAATTCTGAAAAAATTTGAGAATGTTCCTCGAGCGGTTCTAAGGCATTTTTGTTTTTATGAATTTTTTTCTAAAGACCATAGATTTTGAGAAAAAAGTTGATGAAGATTGAAAAAAAAAAATTCGTTTTTTCCGCCATTTTGTAAAGAAGCGATGGTTCAAGGTAAACAAAAAAATTCCTTGTTAAACTTCAAATTCCATGATCACCTTTGATCACGGTCGCAAGGTGATATCTTCACCGTAACACTTCGAAAAAAAATCCTAAAAATTTTTTTTTTCGAAAATTTAGGTGTTTTTTATGTTTCAATCGAGCATATCTCTTTTCCTGTGAGTTTTATCATGATTCTGGCAACGGATTCTGAAAGAGCATGCAATTTTACATCAGAATATGTGGTTCAAGAATTTTTTCAACGCCAATTACATAGGAAAAAATCACTTTGAAAACGTGCAAGAAATTTTGACATTTTGGACGTTAATGGGTTAAAACATTTTACATGCAAAATTAAATTTGACGGATTTGTTATAAGAAAATAGGTAAAATTTCAAAACTTTTTTTCATCAATTTCTTTTTAACATGACATGCGTCAATATCAAAATTTTTCTGTAACCATCAATACACAAAATTGTTGAACTTTAAGGAAATTTTTATATATAAGCTTTCTTTCAAAATGATAGATATAGTGCAAAAACCTGGAAAAAAAATTCGTTTCTCGGTACCATTGTTTTTCTCAAAAAATACGAAATTTAGAAAAAATTTTTATAGAAAGAGAAGAAGAACGCTCAACTTCTTTGTTTTTTTTTTTTTTAAATTTTTGTTTTCTTTTTTTAAATTAAGTTCCAAAGATATTTCTAAAAAAGTTATCAACATAATCTAACAAAGTTATAGTGTATTCTTTGGCTAATTCTAAGACTTTCTGTTCTTACAAATTTTTCTCAAAGCCTATAGTTTTTGAGGAAAATATTATCAAACATTCTGAAAATTCTTTGCAATGGTCACAACATTTTTTTTAAATGTAGAAAATTTACTCCAAAATAAATTGCAAAAATTTAAGTGTTCCGTGATAAATATTAAGACATTTTTCTTTTTCCTATACCTCATATTTTTTAACGAAAAACATTTGAGAACCTTTGTCGGTTTTAGTTAGGAACTTAAGTAAGAATCCACGTGTAGCTTCTATAGCGAACAGATGTGTATTAAAATTGCTCCTCGCAAGTGTAGTGTTTACGTCTCACATGTCCGGGCTTAGCCCAATACATTTTCGCACCAACGCGAAAATACAACATCAAAGAAAACAACCATGAACACGCATTACGCAAAAAGACCAAACTCCAAAAAGAGATCAAGGTCTCCTTATGGACTGCATCGGCGAACTGACACTTACAGATTACACGTGTGCCATAGGAGATATTGTACAACCAAAAAACATACTATTCGCATCGAGAATATCCAAAAACCGAATCTGTATTTACCTGGCCAATAAGGAACTAGTACACGACATCACAGATAAATTCCAAACAATTGTCAAAACAATTGTCAAAACCGGATATAAACACGTGGGTAGTTGGCGTAAACAAGCTTACATTAAACCCGAAGACATTAAAAAAATACCCGAGCTCTTTAAAATTTATTATGAAGGAGTCAACTACTTCATATACGCCAGCACAGACTCAATCAAATGCTTTTCATGCAATCAAGAAGGCCACCTCGCAAATAACTGTACAGCCCACTCAGCTGACTCAAATGTAAATATTGATGATGCTGAAACTATTATCGATAATAGTCCAACTACCAACGAATCCACTGCTACTAATGCGTCAATTAACTTCACACCAGCAATGAAAAGACAACGCTCTGAAACTAGCTCCAATGAATCTCCAAAAGCAACCATCCAAAACCCATCCGAGCAATATATAAAAGAAACACACAAACATAAACGGAAACCCAGCAACCCAAACTTATCTAAATCAGATAACACTACTGCAACAAAATCTTCCTCCAAAAAAGAAAAAAATATCTACCAAAACTATGACTCACAAGAAAACATTAACGACGAGCTTGATATTAAACTATACAGCATCAAAGACTATCTCAACACTGCTGAAGTTCTTCTCAACTACGACGAATTCAAAAGTCTTCTCGAAAAAACACATAATGTCAAAAAACCCATAGAATAATAAAACAATACACGGACGACTTAGAAAAATTTTAAAAATTTATTCGAGAGGATGTATACCAAAACGTTCGAAACTCTAGCATTAAAAACCGCTGCACCAGATTATTGAAAAGTATAGATCTACCAAACACGAACCTCACTCCCACCCCAACACCAACCAATTCAGACTCCGACTCAGACCTTGCATAACTATAAAATGTCGAAAATTATCCAATGGAACCTTAACAGTCTAGCACACCAACTGAACTACCTACAAATCCTTATACACCAAGAAAATGCAGACATTATCTGCTTACAAGAAACAAATCTCAAAGGCAACGACAAATCGAATATAAAAAAATATACAAGCTACAATAAAAACAGACAAGACTGTATAAATGCCAGTGGAGGAGTATGTATATATATAAAAGAAAATTATTATAGCCAAGAAATAACATTAAACACCGAATTAGAAGCAGTCGCCATACAAACCCTCATCAACAATAAGCTAATCACCATATGCAACATATATCTGAGCGACAGATACACTCGGCAACAAAATTATCGCAACAAAGATTTTTCATCGAAAAATTGCCATTTTTCAAATGCTTGTAACTCGGTCAATTTTTATCGTATTGAGATCATTGTTTTTTTGTTTTGTAGAAAATTATGTGTACTTTGAGAAACAAATGATATCCACCGTCTGCAAGATAATGTCACATTGCTATGTCTTAATCAGGCATACCAACTTTTTTTTCTTAAAAAATTCAATAGTTTGCACGTATGCCTGGATTACCCAAATTTTTTTGTCGAAAAACTACAGATTTCCTTTCAAAGTGCACTTTTCAGCGAGTATTTTAAATCAAAATTCGACACTCCACGATTTTTTTCGACCGAGTTATGCCATTTTAAAGATATTCCAATGTTTTAGCCAAATACCGCC